GCGCCTCCTCGAGTGTCCGTATGCGTTACTCTTTCCTCCTAGTTGTAGGACTTCCACTCAGCCAGCGTTCCTGTGGGTCTGGATGATGTCCGTTCCGTCTTTTAGTTTCACTTTTGAAGTGGTTGTTCGAGGCAGCAAACTCCGGCGTTAACCTATGCCGCCATCTTGGTTCTCCCCCATCATTGTATTTTAATTATTTATTGACATAGTCTGACTCTTCCCTCTGTTCTGAGCCACATGAAGATAAGAACTGTGCCACATTCATCTTTGTTCCTGCAACATCTGGTACAGATTTATGCTGGACACACAGAGGGTGCTCAGTTAATGTCCAAACTGAGGGAAAGAATGAATGAGGAAAACCTTAGTCTTTCTTGCCTCCCATTCCTCTACATTACCTGTAAACCTTTTTTAGAAAAGAAATCATTCCTTCCACTCTGTCTCACAGCAGCAACTAATAAGGTGCTGTGTACATGTAGATGCTCAATAAGTGTTGGCTCACTATTCAGGTGGCTTATCATCCCTCTGCACCCAAGAGATAAGCACATGAAAGAGAGGGTAGGCCTGAGTATTCCTATATTGAGTATCATATGTCGTAAGTTTTATAATATTCTGATAATCTCCACAATCACTCAATATTTGTCTGCATAGATGAGAAATCAAAACAAAACAGTCCTTTGAGTCAAAGAATGAGACTCTGCAGCTGAGCACTTTTCAATAGTTTCAATCCCCTTGTTACATATGAATTTGAGAGATCAGCATTTTATATCCCTGAATTCTTTTTGCAGTTTCAGAAGGATCTGGGATTCTTCTGTTTTTGCTGCACTGGTATAATTTGACGTGTTGACTATGAAGGGGTATTAACCCCAGCATTTTTAATCACTTTTTTACTCTGCTTTTCCTCAACTCTAAAGTATGTTAATTTACACATGTTTATATGTCTCTGTGAGTTACTCAGGCCCTTGAGTACTGGTATATGTTTTTTCTGGGAACTAGATTGTAAGCCCCTTGAGAGCAGGGACCTTATAACTCCTAGGAATGTATTCTGGACATCGTCAGTGTTCAATTAATGAGAATACTGGAAACTTGACTAAAGTCATCTGTAACATTGACAACTTCCTTTTCTAACTTGAAAAAAAAGTTGTTAAGTTGATTTGATAACATTGAATGACTCTACCGAAAATTATGCTAAATTCTACCCACTACAACTTGTTCTTTAGTCTGCTTTCAGATTTATAGTTTTGGATCAGTTGTTGCAGTTCCCTTCCCTGTAATACTCTGGTTTACAAAGGAATTGGGGAGGGCTGAATTTCATAACCCAGAAGTTCTTTAGCATAATAAAAAGTAAGCTGATAATGTTTATACTTTAAAAAGCATGTAATTCTTTCACCAGCCCCCAGTGATACTAGGTGATAAACTCAAAGTATGTTGACAATCTTAATTATGAGAAATAATCCTTAATAACCAGTCAATATATATGTCTTACTTTCCCAGATTGTAAAATGAAGTAATTGTGTACACTGTGTACTATGACTGTTGAAGTTAAATTAATTTGAAAGTTTCAAGGAAGCCTGAGTTCTAAAACTCAGGACAAATTCGGTCCTTAGTGAGGATAGAGTTGGATAGAATTTTTCTGATTCATCCTTTTTAGATGGAAAGTGTGATGAGTTTGATAAGTTGTATTTTTTCCCTTCAATATTTCCTGACTCAACTATACCTCCTACTGGCTCCACCATCATCACCACCTCTAGAGCAAACTAACCTATCATTTTCTGACATTTTATATTCTTTCTCTTTTCTACAGTATACTAAAGGAGGTATATATGGCCTTTAATCCCAAAGCGGTGGTCTTACAGCTGGGAGCTGATACAATAGCTGGGGATCCCATGTGCTCCTTTAACATGACTCCAGTGGGAATTGGCAGGTGTCTTAAGTACATCCTTCAGTGGCAATTGGCAACACTCATTTTGGGAGGAGGTGAGTACAAAGGAAGGTCACCAGGAGAATTTGTTGACCTTCCTCAATATTTTATTTATTGACACTGAGGAAAACTTGACTTTCTTAGATTAGATAATATCAACCTGCCTGTGGTCCAGAAGCCTGATTCATTGAATTCTGCTACCTTCATAGTTCAGCATAAGGAAGTATTGATACACTTCTACTCAGTTTGGTGTATGCATTGACTCCTTGGCACTCCGATACAAAATGTTCAAAACATTTAAGTTAACAGTGACACCAGATCTTATTAAGAACTAGAGGCCCAGTGCATGAAAATCATGCACTTGGGGGGAAAGGATCCCTCAGCCCAGATTGTGAGCGTGCGCAGGTCAGGCTGAGGGACCCCATCGGTGCAGAATGGAGGCCAGGGAGAGATGCGGGAGGTTGGCCAGCCGGGTAGGGAACACAGGAGGGTCTCAGGGCATGTCTGGCCCATCTTGCTCAGTCCTGATCAGCCAGACCCCAGGAGCAAGCTAACCTACAGGTCAGAGCATCTGACCCTTGGTTGAATGGCCTTAGCATATCATTAGCATATTATGCTTTCATTGGTTGAACGGCCGACCGGATGGCTGGACACTTAGCATATTAGGCTTTTAATATATAGGATAGAGAATGCTAACAGTGGATTTTGATCCATCTTCTTTCAGTGTAATTTTGATTCCCAGTTCTAATAATAATCTTATAGAAACATACCACTAAAATTCTAACCCTACTCAAATATATGTAGTGAACACATGAATTCATTAAACCTAAGCTGAAATTAGGAATGACTTTTGCCCCACAACATCCTAAAAAAACATGGATTTGTACAATAAAGTAAAATTGAGAGATCTAAAGAGTCTATTCGACATTCTTGCCCTCAGTGTGTACTGATGTTTTGTATCACTTAACCAACAGAAGCTGAGTTTGTTCAATAGAAACATTTACACATTTGCAAAAGGCACCTATCACAACCTCAACTACCTTTGAAGATGCCTTGCTTAGAATCTTCTATCTATCTGGCAGAGTCTTTCTTTTATTGGGTGAATGCATCAATGTGTTAAAATAACATGGTCAAGTTAGATTGAGCTTAAAATGTATGTATTATGGAACAGCTTATAGTTTGTGGTTCTGTCAGCCTGTTGTAAAAAATAAAGTTAGAAGAAACCATGGGAAGGCCTTATGAATGAGCATTCAATACAAATACACAAGCCTGGTCGTTTGGCAGCCTCAAACTCTAGAGGGATCAAAACTAAAGCTGCTTATAAGAAACAACCTCTTATAAAGAGCCAGAAAGAAATGTATTAACTTCAACTCAGGGAAAAAATAACATTGATAACTGCTGTGTGGCATATAACTTTTTTACCAGCACAAAGAATGATTATTATGATACAAGTATAGTTACAGGAAAAGAAAACAAAAGACCTTTCCACAACACATATCTGTGCAAATTCAACTTTTGTTTGAGGCTTCAACCTATACTTACCATTTTTAAGGCCTCTTAGCTTCTTCAGTCCAAAGTTTTGGCTTTTGAAAAATGTGTATTCCTGAAAATGCCTGTGCATAAGTGGAATTTTTAGAAATCATATTGCATGTACACTAGAGAGAACTATTACTTAAAACCTATAGTGATTCTTTTTTGAAATCAAATAATCATTCCCAATAAGTCAACCTTAGAAATTTAGATTTTTCACATCAGGAATGTTTAAAATACCTATACTATTGCACTTAAATTTTCAACCACCAATAATGCATAAACAGTTAGGGGAGGTGGCCATAGCCTCAAGCTTCAGTGGACCTTAGGCCAAAAGACACACTCTAAAAGCCCCAGTATCCCTGACCTTTCAAGGAGTAAAAAGACTTAAGAAATGGATGACCATATGTCTCAATTTATACATGTTATCCCAGTGTAATTATTTTTTAATATATTTTTATTGATTTCAGAGAGGAAGGGAGAGGGAGAGAGAGATAGAAACATCAATGATGAGAGAGAATCATTGATCAGCTGCCTCCTGTAAGTTCCACACTGGGGAATGAGCCCGCAACTTGGGAATGTTCCCTGACCAGGAATTGAACCTGTGACCTTCTGGTTCATAGGTCGATGCTCAACCACTGGGCCCCAGTGTAATTGTTAATAGTGTCCCCCTTTACCCTTAAAATTGTATCATTTTGGATGATAAATTTTATGGTTACCCTACCTAAAATATACTAAATTCAATTTCCCTCAGGCTGCATTGAGGTTAGGAAATCATTCTTTTTTATCCTTACACTTTTGGAATTTAGCTAAAGGCCAGTATTCTAATGCTTGCATGGCAGAACACATCTATTCAGAACAAAAATACTCTGATTGTTAGCCTGTAAATATGGCTTCTGGGTGATTGACAGGACCTGACAAGATGGGTCAGAGTGTCAATCAACAGTCCCTTTCTCAGCTTATTCTCTTTGATCTCTGCTACTAGGCCTGCATTTTGTGGAAAAAAGGAATGCTGATAATAAAATAAGGAAGTTTGTGTCTGTTAGCATTTTCCTTTTCTCTTTCCAGGATGTATCTAGAGCTACATCTGCCAATAGATTTAACATGCAAACCACATCCAGCAGTCATTTTATAGAATTGTTGCAAAATTCATCACAGAAACCTTCATGATGGGTAGGTCATCTCAAGAGATCTAGGTTCCAGATATCTCATTCTTGAAGATTACTCTTGATGGAATTGAGGAGCTTAGAGTCCCCAGGTGCATATTTGTTCTGAAACTAGAACCTTTTTAATCTTCGTAGGCCTTGAACTTCCCAGTTCCACACTGTGCATGGTCTGACTGGTCTACTGAAGTCTGACTACCAGGTGGTTTAAAAATATTAAGGGTATGTTTGGGTGAAATTCTGCAAGTTGAAATTGTCTTTTTAGCCCTTTTATTAAAACATTTTTCTCTCCTTCCTTACCCTCTTCCCTCTCCTGCTGTTTTGTAACTATTCTTTCCTAACTTCACAATTCTTGATGGAGACAGGAGGCTATAACCTTGCCAACACGGCTCGATGCTGGACATACTTGACCGGGGTCATCCTAGGGAAAACACTATCCTCTGAGATCCCAGATCATGAGGTAAGTAAGGCTCTGACAAGTCCTCTCTTCTTTAAGGGGAAGAGCTGAGTCATTCCACCTAATCAAAATCACGTCCTCACTACTCAATACTGTTTTGTTGAGAGACACTCTAATAACAATAACATACTGTCTTGGCAGAATAGTGGACTCTTGTTCCAAAATATCCAAGACCTTCTGCCTTTTTTACAAGAGACCTCAAAGGCCAACCAACTTTAATTTCTCAATTAATTACAGAGACTGTGGGAAGGGGTCACCTGTTCACACAAAGAACTCTTTGGAATATGGGTATATTTTCGTCCCCAACCTCAAAACAGAAGTGGCAGTTTTCTAAGCTTGGATCTCATCTATCTTTAAAAAGTTCCATAGGCAGTATGTCGCACCTATGTTCTTTGGTGGTAGTCCTAATTTCTCAATTTTCTTTGGCTAATATAAAATTTAAGAAATACAGATCACCACAAAGATAGGGTTGGTGCTTTTCCAATGATTAGTGGCACACAGAGGTTTGTGTAGGACCATTCAAAATGTGAACCATGTCATTTAAACCCTCACCATTTTCTTTAATCATGAGTTGAGCATTACATTTTCCATAGCAAAATGCCTGCTCTAGTTTTCCCAAAACAGGTTAATAGAAAGCTGCCTGGAACCTGTGAGTGTGCTGACAATGCTTTACCCAAAGGTGTATCCTTTCTCTTCCCACCTACATCCATACCTGGCAGGAAGCATGTTATCACAGATCAGGATGTGTAGCTCCAGGCCTTAGACTGTGTGACTTTATAATAATAACTTTATAATAATAAATCTACTTTCTCAGTCAATTCCCTAGGTGTTGAGATGGTACTTTGATTATAATGTTTTGATTCCTCCCAGAAACAGAAGCTGTGCACTTGGGAGCATTATGTTTTTGAAAGTTGGTATTATTTTTTAAAAAATTAGAAACAAACTAATTTTCTTACAATTTTCTTTTAACCAGAGATGAGGTATAATATGTATCTTGGAAAAAAAACTGAGTATGTCTAGAATACAAATAGAAGGCAAGCTATAATTTGAGACAATTTGCTGGTGTCAGGGTTAATAGAAGTTTCTTTCCTTGACTTAACTTACCTTTATTCAGTACTTGGAAGCTTTATGAAATATAAAAGTAAGCAAATAAATGTAATCATTGTTATTGCTGTGGGAATATCTCATATTGCATTATAACTTAAAGCATTGAGACTTTAAAAACTGATCAAGTTTTGTCAAAAAATAGTTTTAAGCATATAGAAGCCTGAATTAAGAATGTGTTCTGTTCCTAGGAAAAAATGTAAATCCATAGAGTCATCTGCCTTAAAAGGTTAATAACATTTTAATAAAGATGAATACTGCCTCTGGTACTTGGAAAAGCAATGTGCCTCAATAGGTGTAAGTTTGGCCTTATAGATAGACATGCCCTGTCTTTATACTGACATATTCTTACAGATTAAATGAGATCTAATGTATGCCAAGTGCCTAACACAGTTCTTGGAACATAATAGGCACATTTGACATCTAAATTTTATCCTTCCCCTTTGTATGCTTCTAACAACTTCTTATAATCAGACATTTATGACTTTGTGATTCATAAATTTGCCCAAATCTTTTTTGAATCCCTTCTATAATATCCTCTGGTATTAGAGATGTGAGTCATCCAAGAAGGAACAAAGAAAAAAATTGAAACGACAGCCTTCCAAGTTTAATAAGATAATATTTTCATGAAAATTGCCAAACATAGACTCTATAGTGTGAAGGCATAAATAAGTTTTGTGCCACAATACACAGTTGCACACAAATATGCTTGTGGCCCTCTATAATTATATAAACAAATGGTAGATAAAAAAAATATTTATTGAGCACCCATTGTTGAAAGATGTAGATTCCAAGACCCCTACCTGAAGCATCAGGGAAGGTGGGCAGTATAAGTGCTAGAGGAATATGTAGATAACAAAAATAATTATACTGCAGAGCAGAATAAGAACCACAAGACAGTAGGAACAATGGCTATGGAGATGTGCTTCAAATATAAACAGAATACAGAGGAGTGTACAAAATACCTTGCCCTCCAAGAGCTGAAAATATTATTGAGAAATATAGTCACTGACAAGGTCAACACAGTGTAGCAGGCAACCACAGTCTGGCTGACTCCCTCACTGTCTTCACTCTCAGTCTTGGGCTTTTGTTCTGTCTCCTTGGATAATAATCTTCCTCCTCTTCTAAATGCCTTTCCCCCACCTCTCTGCTATCTTCCTAGGTCCAGCTTCAAGTCCTATGCTTTAATAATCCCTTACCTAAATATACCAAAACCCGTTCACCACATTTGTTTATTAAATGTTTCATCATTCATTTAACAAATATTCCTTGGGCCCCTACTACTTGCCTGGCCCTATTCAGATGTAGATGCAGAGATACAAAGACTGACAAGATAGCCTGGCCAGTGTGGGTCAGTGGTTGAGTATCGACCTATGAACCAAGAGGTCGCTGGTTTTGTTAGGTTGCATGCCCAGGTTACAGGCTGGATCTCTGGTGAGGGGTGTGCAAAAGGTATCCAATCGATGTTGATGTTTCTCTCTCATAGATGTACATATTTAGGGTTGTCAGATGTTCTTGATAAATGTACCCTTTATTAATATGAAATATACCTCTTTATCTCTGGGAATATTCCTTGTAATGAAGTCTTCTTTGTTTGATTTTAATATTTTCACACCTGTTTTCTTATGATTATTATTTGTGGAGTATATATTTTTCTGTCCTTTACTTTTAACCTATTTGTAGCTTCATATTTAAATTGTTTTTCTTATAGACAGCATATGGTTGGTTCCTGATTTTTTTATCCATTTTGAAATCTTAGCCTTTTTGTTGGAGTACCTAGAAAATTCACCTTTAAGTAAATTATTTATATGTTTAGGTTTAAATCCATTTCCTATTTGTACCATTTGATTGTGTTCCTTTCTATTTTCCTGCCCTCTTTTGAATTAAATAAATATTTTTAAGGATTTCATTTATCTTATTTATTTGCTTATTAGCTATAACTTCTCTCTTCTTTGTGGTTGCTCTGGGGCTTAGAGTGAGCATTTTTAACTTATCATAGTCTACCTTAAAATATTATTACACTACTAGTACTTCATGTATAATACAGCACCCTTAATGATAATGTTCTTCCATTTTCCCACTTTTCTTCATTTGTGCTATTGTAGTCAGATATTTGACTTTTGCATATGTTATAAATTTCATGATATATTGTTACTATCTTGCATTTTTAATTTTTAAATGTTTATTAACTTATTTAAAATAAGAATAATAAATCCAGTACACATTAGCACAAATAACATGTTGTAGTAAAAAACAACAACAAAAACCCTCTATTTAATAAGACAAAAATTAATTTCATAAGAAAAATAACAGTGTTATACATTTGTGCACATCTGTAATATCTGGCTCATAGATGACAGTTGAGTTCTCATACCTGTTTCTACATTCAGCATGTTTTGATGTTGTTTTTGTTAAAGTATATGAAAAAAAATTCACCTTCACATGGATATGCAGTTGGAAAAGGTTGGAGTATTTTAATAACCTTTTCCGATAATTATGGATATTCTACATTGATACTACACAAAAATTCTACATTCGGTAGTTTCTTAGTCATTCCACTACTATACGCTTTGTTCCAGTGAGATGAGTGGTGATACCAATTAATGCTGATGGAATTTTAAACCATATTAACGAATTTTTTATATTCTTTTACATTAAAATTCACTCATCTTGTACTTTGAATCAATATATGACCCAACTTATATATATTGATTGTTTTTGGAAAATATTGGTCCACTACGTTATGCAAATATTACAAATGTTGAAACATTTGATGCAATACTGAAAGAAAATCACATTAACTGGTATCACCACTGATCTCATTGGGACAAAGCTTAAGTTCTGGGAAGCTATCAAGCTTATAGTGACAGAATGTTCTTCAAAATTTTAAATTTCACTAAAGTACATGAATATTATCTTGGCAACAAATAATGTCAATCTTTATTCTAAAGTGATCAGGTTACTTCATTTTTGAGAAAATAATCTGCCAAGGACCCAATAGTTTTAATATTAAAACTATTAATAATAGTTTTTCCATCAGTTGTTCTTTTAAGCAAAAATGGTGTTCCAGTAAAAGTGGCTACTTAAGCCATAGCTTAATCACAGGTGTGCTATTCCTCAAGACAACCACAGTAGTACAGTTTATAACAGAAGCAACTTCTGCATACCTCCTATTTTGTCATACAATGTTAAATCCAGGATCAAGAGTTGATAATTTTCAGTGCTTCCCCAAGGACATTCTTAAATAAAATTAGAGTTTTTTTACTGTGAGTACATAACAGTAAAGAATAAAATAACTGCTGGTGTACTTTGGTGCTACTGCCTTAACTTGTACCATGGTGCCAGCAGTTTTACCCACCATTGCTTTTGCACCTCCATGTAAATATAAACCAACTTGCTCCAGGATAAACCATGAGATTCAAACAAGTTATTTAGCATTTTCAATATTTTAGTAATACTTGTGTTTGTTGCCAACCATTCACATGAAAAAGGTCTTCTTCAAAGATGACTTAATGCTGATACTACACGACTATAAGTAAAACAGCAAGTCCAGCCATTCGAAGCCTTGTTTGTTTGTAAAGTGAAAGTATAATTCTGAAAATGAAATAACAACTAAGTCTTTGTGTTTAGAGCTAAAGGTTTAAATAAGCAAGTTATTTTCCCATTGAAAAGAGACAGTGCTGTTGGGGCGGGTAAGAGATCAACCGAAGGACTTGTATGCATGCATATAAGCATAACCAATGGACACAGACACTGGGGGGTAGGGGAGGCTGGGGGAATGTCTAGAGGGAAAA